CAGCAGGGTCCAGATCTGTGAAGACCAGACCGGCCCAGAAGCGGTCCTGATTCAGGAGCTTCAAAGACTGCTCAACCAGCACAGCCTCAGTGCTGACGCCTTCAAACTTATCCAGATCAAAACACTGCAACACACACACACACACACACACACACACACACACGCACACACACTTCAGCACCTCTGTGCGTCTGAATCTGACAGTGAAAAACGAGGTTCATGTGGTGAACGCTGAACACAAGCAGAGAACAGAGAACCGCGAGAGGCCGAAGGAGAAGAAACAGAGTAAATGAAAGAGAGGAAGAATAGAGGACACATGAGTATCCACTCAAACTGAACCATAAAGAACCAGAAAACATAAACAAAGCATAGAAAATCACACACACATCAAACCAACAAGATCAATATGTCATGCTCAAATGTTAAAAGAGTTGACAACAGTCCTTAGTCTTCACTGGAACAACCTGAATAAATAAATAAATAAATAAAGAGCTAAATGAATTGGTACAACTTTACAATAAGAATTTGTTACTATTATGTATTAGGTATCATAATTATGCATTAGGTAAGTAATAAGTAATGCATTAGGTAAACATTAACTAACACTGAACTGATCTTTTTTTAATATTTATTATAGGCTAATTCTATTTTTTTTAAATATACTATTTATCATTTGTTAAGTCATGTTTGTTCACAATACGTTAATTTAATTCATTTTTATTTGTTTCAGTTTTCAGCTTCAACTTCAACTTGTTTTATTTCAGTTTAGAGCTTTAATTAATTTGTATTTGTATTTGTTTTAGGTTTAGCAATTTTAGTACTTCTTTCATGTATAAGTAGAACTTATAAATTATTAATATGCGTTTGTTTCTGTTATGTCAGCTTAAACTTGAGTTATTAAAATTGTTTGAGTGTTTGTTTATTTAATAATTTTTATTCAATAATTTTTATTTTTGGTTTTACGTTCATTTTTTATTAAAAAAAGTAATTAAAATTAGGGTTATTAAATTTTAAATGAGAAAATTAATACAAATATTTTTGCCCATTATATTTACACATTATATGTCATATTTATATTCATACATATATTGAATCATTTTCTTAAAAACCCTCCGTTTGGATTAACTTAACCTTTTCAAGGGTATAAACAGATTACAACTATTTTCTTAGAGAATTCGAAAGATTAAATTAGGGTTATTAAATTTTAAATGAGAAAATTTATACAAATATTTTTGCCCATTATATTTACACATTATATGTCATATTTATATTCATAAATATATTGAATAATTTTCTTAAAAACCCTCCGTTTGGATTAACTTAACCTTTTCAAGGGTATAAACAGATTACAACTATTTTCTTAGAGAATTCGAAAGATTTCAAATCCAATAGAATATGTTTGGCATGATATACATACACTTTTTTTTACAATAAGATTAATAAAAGCTATTAAATAACCTTTCTGTAAAGTGTTACCAGTTTATGATATTGTTAACAGATTTTACTCCTGAATTTATATTATTGATATATTTCTTAAATGTGGGTCTTTTTAGACTTTTTGGTCACCGTAATATTTAAAAGAATACAAGCTTCAGTTAAGAAGAAAAGTCACATGGTTTGCAGTGAGTCGATAGTATATTTTAACATTTTAATGCATTGCTCTGCAGCAGATATATCCCCAAGGCCGATATATTGGCCGATGTGATAGCTGAAAAATGCCAAACATCGGACGATATATCGGCCTTGGGGATAAATCGGTCGACCACTAGTTTTAAGACATTTAAATTCAGCAACATTATTGTTGGTGGCTTCAGGTTAAGTTTTTTCTGTTTAGCCGATGTGTTCGAGGTGGGACTTTTATTTAGACTTTTTTATTTTTATATTGATTTCAAACCATACTGCGCTTTATCCATTTGCCCACTGTCAAATTCATGTAATTTCCACTGTGTGCTGCATGCAAAATGAGTGCTACCTTGGCTTTATTTGAAAAAAAAAAATATGATTCCCAATGCACACAAACTTCCCAGATTACCCTGTTGGCATCGGCTGTCAAAAAACAATATCGGTTGACCTCTACTTAAAACTTTAGTCATTTATGGGACGCTTTTATTGAACGACTTATTCAGGGCTTTTATGAACACAAGTGTCATGTGCTGCACACAGCATTTATCTCTGAATGTCACAACGAGGATTCAGTGGCATGTTGTACAACTCAACGCATCAAGCTTCTGCTGGGTTTGGATTCTTTGATTAGTTTTGATCACAAAATGATACATCATGCAGATTAATCACTGTGATCACTGGCTGCACTTTCTGCCTTTCAATGTCTGACTGGTGTGCAGCAATGCAGCTTGACACTCCATTGGATTGGGAATGCTGACGTGAATCATGTGAAAGTGCACTCATTACACCTTTAGAGGTTCAGCGCCATGAAGGATCAACACTAACCTCAAAACCTCAAAACCTCTAACCTTCTGGTTGTTCACCCCTAGGCTACGCCGTCCTGAACACGCTTGCATTCAGACAAAAACGAGAATAAAAGAGGAAAATCTACAGTGAAAGAGATCAGACGAGAGAGAAAAGCAGCGATTCTGAATGAAAACGGAAATAATTGCTGGGAGAACATCAAAGGAGAGATGAGATCTGATGCATGAACAAACCAGCGCTGGGCAAAAGTCAGAATTTAAAAAAACTGGCTGCTTTTCAAAACATGAGGTGGATTTTCAATTAAACTTGGCAACATGTTTCACAGGATGTTGAATTTGAATTTGAACCGGAAGAGGAATAAAGGTAATGGAATTCTGGGAAATGTAACACATTAAATGTTCAAACTATAAATCAGTCATTCAATCAGTCTTTTTCAAGCCAATATTTAAAATGTGTCTTGATGAAGTTAATACACTTCTAGTTGAAAATTACTCTTCTGGTAATTTCAGTATGTCAACATGTCAATGATGTAAATATTAACTAAAACTAAATCTATTAAAAATCGCTCTTTTGTCTTTGAAATAAAGCTGAAATAAAACCAAGTATAAATATTACATAAAAAATAAATGAAATATAGTAAGTTTTGTAAGTTTAAGTTGATATTTCAGTTTTAAAACTAAAACTGAAATATCAATAAATTAAACTTAGCTGAACTTAGTTAAAAATAATATGTTGAATAAGTACTGAAATTACTAAAACTGGAAAAAAAGATAACATATAAATATTTTATTTTATAAAGGTAATTTAATTAAATATAAATATAATCATTTTATTTCAAAAAGTTTTATTTTGCATTTTTTAAATAATTAAATAAAATAGAATATAATAGAATATAATAGAATATAATATAATTGAATTTAATTTAATTGAATTAAATTAAATTAAATTAATGAATAAATTATCCTGTCATCTTTCAAAGTTGTAATAAATGTCTAATGAATTCTACACTTTTGGGAATTTCTTAGAATTTTCAAATAATTCTTAAAATTCAGGAATTTAAAGGCAAATAATCTGCATTCTACGGTAAATTCTGGGAAATCGAAAGGCCTGTGTAATCTTTGAATTGAGGAAATAAGCAAGTAAGTAAATAAATAAATAAACAAACAAAGAATACATTTTATAAACAAACACATTTCTCTCAAGCCAACGTTCAAAGTGTGTCTTGATGAACTTAATAAACCTCTTTTTGCAATTTCTTTAAACTTCAATTCATTCTTCTTTCTTAAATTAAAATGACAAATTCTGCATCCTGTTTGCTACCTCAGTTCAAATTAAAATTCAGGAAGTGAATAGAAATGCACTCTGAACAGCCCAGCAGGAAGCTGCAGTGAAAGCTGAAGACGCACCGCGAGGATCTGAGTTATCTGCTGCACTGCACTACTGGTGGCGTTGAAGACGTTACGCCAGTCGAAGGCTGGCATCCCCGCCGGACGCTCCGACTCAGGGCCGTTAAACAGGAAGCCGCTGATGAGTGCTGAGGACAGACCGGAGTCCTCCAGCTGCTCGTCCAGAATGGCTGCAAACACAGGGTTCTTCAGAAGAGCCTGAGAACACAAAACACATTAACAGGGTCACACAGCAGAAACACTCCATAAAAACCATCAAACATCTAAAGCTAGGGTTATCATAAAACCAACACCTCATTAGCTGATACCAATCCCAGTGACATTTCAAGTCAAATTACACAAGACTAAATGAAGAGCAGGCAGTGTTTTTCACTTGCTCTTGTTAATATTGTTGTTAACAATATTAATCACATAAATTCACATAAATCAAATAAACCTGTCCTGCCTGCATTTAACTGTGTTTAATATGTCAATTTTAAAAATCACATCTGGTCATTGAAATAAAACCAAATATAAATATAAGATGAAAAATGTAGATGGAAAAAAAAACAAAACTTATTTTCAGTTAGTTGCAAAGGCAACTTTTATAATTTTCATTTAACCTGAACTACTAAAATTACTAAATCGAAAATAACAATTTAAAGCTATTTTAAATAAAGTTGAAGTTGAAGAACTAAAATTAATACATAGAATATTACTTTCATGTACCCGTTTTACATGTTATAGTACATAGTTCGATTAATGGCACACGTCATTACGTCCCACGTGACGCCATCCGACGTCCCCTCCAGAATTTCACGTTTAAACATATAGTTCGTGAAGCGCAGTTAACTATTTGTACGTGCATACCAACGACGGTGGGTGTTGAAGCTCTTTTATTTGCCGTCAAACGGTTGAGCACTGCCGTGTGTTTATCCTGTCGCAAAATGCGGTGAAAAGTCCTACACGATGGTAATAATGTGATTAAGGTGTGTGCATGTCTATTCTGCACTTCAGTAATGCGACTAAAATAGGAATACTCCACATATCTTTAGCCGGATTAAGGTAATCAGAAATCTCTGTTTGAGATATGTGGAGTATTCCTATTTTAGTCGCATTACTGAAGTGCAGAATAGACATGAACACACCTTAATCACATTATTACCGTCGTGTAGGACTTTTCACCGCATTTTGCAGGATAAACACACGGCAGTGCTCAACCGTTTGACGGCAAATAAAGAGCTTCAACACCCGCCGTCGTTGGTATGCACGTACAAATAGTTAACTGCGCTTGAAGCTTCCATAAAATTAAAAACTGAAACACCCAAAACTGTACATCACTCCATCATCACGAAGACGAACTATATGTTTAAACGTGAAATTCTGGAGGGGACGTCGGATGGCCTCACGTGGGGACGTAATGACGTGTGCCATTAATCGAACTATGTACTATAACATGTAAAACGGGAACATGAAAGGAATATTCTAAAAGCAACTCATGTAAACACCTTAATCATAATATTGGCTTATTCAGAATAAGGTAAATAATTAGATTACTGATGTCCATGTAAACGTAGTCAGTGTTTGTGTGACCATTGTCACATTAAAACACTCTTCTTAGATCACTAATTCAAAACCAATGGCAGCCTAGGCTATTTCCTAATAAAATGCAAAGCTCTGCTTGTTAAAACGTTAAAATGTTTTCCAACTAAGTGGTATTGAATGAACGCATTAGGGCACAGCTGCTAATAGGGGCCACCATAAAATATTTTAGCCATTAAACATAAATTATTGTGCCAAAACACCTGACTATAAAAATTTAATTTATTCATGAGACAATAGACTCTGACAGCCAACCAAACCCTTTAAATCATAAAAAAAAAAACAGAGAGAGAGAGAGACAATGGCTTGGTTTCATAACCTAGGAATCACTGTAACTGAAATGCAGGATACATGAGTGATTTGGAGCTCCCTACATAGGCAACAGTATATACAGTACTTGTCATATGTGACTCAACCCACTAAGCACTTTGGTGTTAGTATTTTGCTCAAAAACTGGGCCGATAGATGTTCTACGATGGTGCAACCGTTGACTTGTTGTGTCATGGCATTAAAGGTCCCTCAAAGGGTAATGAAAAAGTCAAAACAAAGTTCACATCCTTTCCAATCCATCCCTCCATCGGCACTCATCTTCTCTCCCTCATCTTCTCAATAAGCTGATTTGAAAATGACACTGAGATAATGGGAAAGGGGGGGTAATGTAGCGATAGAGGGTTCATCTGAAGGTGTGCCGCTGGTTAATCCCTTCCCTGCTGCTGGTGCAAATGATCCTGCACTTACCCATAATTACCTTCTCCTTTCATGCACCCTATCACAGAAGAGGGGCAATAAACTCTCTCTCACGCACACACACACACACACACACACACACACACACACACACACACCTGTTAGCGAGACGGAGGGTTTAAGAGCTTCATTCGTGAGGGGTGTGTGTGTAAGAGACTCTTTCATTCTCAGCCGAGGTGACTCATCCAGAACAATAATGGACACTGAACTACATTCACAATGGAAGATAAGTCCTGTGTATCTGTCAACTCACTAATAAAGCACTTTCTGGTGAAATACTGCATATTAACCGCTGGGATTTCTGGCTGGTACCTCATCAGACTAAGTATCTGTGGTGTTGAAAGTTATGGCCTGGTGCTGTAGTCGGCAGTGTTCATTTTGACAGCAAATTTTGATTTAGTCTTAGTCATAGTCTTTTAACTAAAATGCGATTTGGTTTTAGTCATATTTTAGTCATCTGAATTGTTTTTGTTTTAGCCAACTAAATCTACAGTAGATTCAGTCGGCTAAAATCGAATGGGTTTAGTTACAGTGTAATGCATTTGTTAAGCATTTCTCTAAAATGTTCAAACTCATTATATAGGTTTGTTATTAAGGTTTTATCTTAACAATTTACCACATTCTTCATTCTTTCAAATGCAATGCCAAACCTGACAAAATTAGAAATAAATACATATGAATAAATATACAAATAAATGTAAAAATATACAAATAAATATATAAAAAAGTAAAAAAAAATAAAAAATAAATAAGTATTTATACTTTTATTTCCTTATTTATGCATTTTTCCCACAATTATTATTTTTTTTATTTTATTTATTTCTATTTTTTATTTCCATTTTTTAAATTTCCACATTTATGTATTTATTTACATTTTTATTTCTATATTTATTTATTTATCTTTTTGTCAGGTGTGGCATTCCATACTTTCAAGCAGACATAATTATTTGTATAAATACATTTAGATTAATCCTTGTTAGGGTTACTAAAGTCATTCAGTCAAGAGCAGTGAGTGATTTTCTCTTTTTCTTTTGTTGCTTGATTAACATTACTGACACACACAACAGTAACTACATTAGGCTACTGTCACTTTAAAACCGAATGCACGGGTGCATCATACTGATACACATCCGATATTCTCCCAACTGTTTACGGTCACTTGAGACGTAACCGAGTGTGTTTATGTGAATACTCATCAAAACAGACAATTTGACATTCGAGAGCTAAATTCAGTACCTGTGTACTGCGTGAGAGGCGCTTTTCTGTGCGCGCTCAGAAAACCGGACCGAATTGAGTTCTCTTTTGCATCATCATGCATTTCAAATGTATCCACATGTCTGCTCTTCTCTTACTCCCAGATACTGACATTTTTTTACTTTTCCATCATAGTTTTTGTCATTCAAAACACGTTTTTATTTCGTTATCGTCTTGTTTTCGTCAACAAAATTAACACTGGTAGTCGGCAACCTGTGGTTGCACGAGGTGCCATTTTATTTTTGTTAAAGATTTGTTATAAGTCTTGGAAGTATAAGGTGATTGACCCACAGGTGTGATTTACCTTTGAAGACCCTTCAGAGTGGCCAGAATGGAAACATTGACTTTACAGGTTTCAAGACCATGACAAAACGAAAATATGATGATGCTGTACCTGCTAGTTCTTGTCTGCTCTATAGGAAGCGAGACCAGTGGATTCACTAGGGATTCTGGGCAACAGAATTTGCTATGGGGCCCCCAAGGGACATTGTTGTGGTCCCCTCTAAGCCTCTAGGCTGCCCTATGCACTCTGTCCCCCTTTTCGCCTGGTTGCGATGCCCCTGAGCGAGAGAGGGAATGCTCTTGCACTGCTAGCTTTGATGACGACAAGGATAAGGATGTTGTACTGGCCAAGGTTGAGGAGCTTATCAAAACATATTCAGATTCACGAGCGGGATGTTTCTCTCTGGGGGAAAAGTAGAGGTGTATGTTTCCTCGCTTTGCGAAATGCTAATTTTGAACTTGGTGACTATTCACATTCACTACCATTTAGAGGTCAGAATAAAAGCCAAACGACTTTCAAATAAGTGCGTGACATTAGCCGAGACACATTCGGAGGAAATAAGCAATGCATGCTCGTTTGCAAACTCGTGAAATGCCAAGTGAGCTCATCCTGCAAGGCATCAACACAACTCCCACGAGACGGAGGGGGAAACAATGCAAACCCAGGGAAGAGTAGTTCATGTGCAAGAAACCAGCCATCCAAATCCGAAAGATTCCCTGCAATAAAACAGCCGACAGCACTGAAAGCGAAAGAAATCACAAGACAAGGTATTGGGTGCGGTTTGCAAGGAAAAGAGGGTATCGCGGTTGAAAATAGGTCAGACAGCACTTTCAGTTTGAGACAGGAGCTGATGCATGTGCGATAATTGAGGAGACATTCGCACCAAAGAAAGAACAGCTCCAGCTGAGGCTTCACTCAGCGGCGCAGGAGGTTGTGAATGTACCAGTGCTACGGTCGAGACCAGCTCATTCCAGCCAGAGTCCAGGCCAAGACCTGAGCAGGTTGAGCCTGAGTCAAGACAAAGACTTGAAGAGGGTCGAGTCCAAGTCAAGACTAAGACCAGAAGCGGGTCTGAAAGATCGTTCACGCTTAAAAATAAATGTTCCAAAAGAACCTTTCTTAGTGTTTAGAAAAAAAAAAAAAAAAATTCTTAAACGTTTTCCATGATAAAGAACCATTTGTGCATTGTAAATGTTCCATGGATGTTAAAGGAATAGCTCACCCAAAAATGAAAATTTGCACATCCTCAGGCCATCCAAGATTAGGATGAGTTTGTTTCTTCATCAGATTTGGAGAAATGTAGCATTGCGTCACTTGCTCAGCAATGGATGCTCTGCAGTGAATGGGTGCCATCAGAATGAGAGTCCAAACAGCTGATAAAAACATCACAATAATCCACAAGTTGATGTTTTTATCAGCTGTTTGGACTCTCATTCTGACGGCACAGGTCAATCATTCCTTTAAAAGCTCTTCATGGAACCACATGCCAATAAAGAAGCTTTATTTTTAATAGTATGCATCTGAAATGTATCTGAGCATCAATGTCGTACCCAAATGCTCCATTGTTCATGGTCTTGGACTAGGACTAGAGAAGGACTTGAGACAGAGTCTAATCTCGAGTACTACAACACTTCGATGTGCTTTAAAGAAGCCTACTGAGTGAGCTATAGAGATGGGTCAAGTTAAAAAGATGAATCAAAACATGCATCTCAGCAGGGTGGAAAGTTGAAAACTGATCCAGTGAAAATCATCTTAAAAGAGAGACTGAGCTCTATGCCGTGCATGCAGCACATGAAGTACCCCTCTCTCCGCTACACAAGGAGAAAGCTGAACTCAAGCGTATGGAGCAAGAAGACACCTTTGATGAAGCCACGCTGTCAGCAATCACGTCCCGTGGAGATGCCCCCATCCGTGTCGAATAAGGCAGTGCAGAGGGTGAAATTCATTCTTCCCACTGCAGAGGATGTAATTGTTAAACTCTCTGCTGCTGGTTTATTTAGCTGCTTAGATACAGCAAGTGGGTTTTACCAGATTCCTCACAATGAAGTCACAAGCTGACCACTTTAATCACTACAAGCGTCCCGCTTTGAGAATCATCACCAGTCCAGAAACTGCTCAAAGAAAGCGACAGAGCAGGCATGTGATCAGCTAAGCAGAAAAAAAAGAAAACCTGCCCCGTCCATTCAATATGTCTGAATAATAAAATAATATTAATAATAACAACAACAACAATAATAATAATAATGATAGCAATTTAACTTTTATAAATATTTTTACATGTATTATTATTATTATTATTATTATTAGTAGTAGTAGTAGTAGTATTACTATTAAGTGAAGAAGAAGTGAAGTGAAGTGACATATGGCCAAGTATGGTGACCCATACTTGGAATTAGTGCTCTGCATTTATCCCATCCTAAGTGTACAGTATTAATACTAATTATTATTATTGCTGTTATTGTTATTATCATTAAAACACTTTTATTTTACAGTACAATATTAATGTACTTATTGAAGTTAAATCTATAGAATTTAAATGAAAATACGATGCAATATTTTTAATTAAACAAATCAAATACATTACTATTGTACCATAAAATAAACAAGCATTTCTTTTTCTCATTTTATTATTAAACGTTTATTATTATTATAGTACTTTATATATTATTATTTTAAATACTTGTTTATTTTACAGTACAATAGTAATGCATTTATTATTTGTTTAATTCTAATTTATATGATCAAAATAAAAATGTTCAATAATAATAATTTTTACACTAACACTAACGTTTACAAATGTTTTAATATTTTTGCTTTCAAAAGTAAAAACCATATATTAGAGCTTTGATTTTGGCGAGACTTTATACCTTCTCTTTTGCTCACAACAGATTTATGAATTATTCTGATTACAAGTTTGAGAAGATGGTTGGCATGTTATAAGCAACCCTAACAACACTTGCAAATATGGAGTTTATATGAAGAAGCTATGCATGCAAGAAATAAATGCATTCGAAAATGTAGCAATTTTTTTTCTCACGTGGGTCATGCTTAAAATACGGAAATATGGAAAAAACATCCCTACAGAGACTTCATATGGGTTAAAGGTGACAGAACCGTACATGGATAAAGTCTGTGTCTTTGCTGAAACAGAAAAAGACCTCCTGAATAATGAAGACCTTGATAGCGTACCGCTCGGGTCAGAGGCTCCAGATGGAGCTCATGCAGTTCAGATGCAATGCAGAGCATGATCCTGGGAAGAGATGGCGCTCTCATGGGGCCCGGATCAGCCGCGCTGAGATAACTACATACAGTACAGTACGCCGCTTCTGTCGTCAATAACTCCACAGAAAATGAAGCTCACCGGGGTGAACACTCAATTAGACGGCCAGAATACACGGTGAGGGCATCCAAGGTCACCGGAGAGTATTTTAGTCAGATCTGTAGTCAGATCGCTGGGCTTTATTTCACAGGACATCAAATTCAGTGTGCGGGTGCGCTCGTGCTGCAGCGGGACAAGGGCAGCGCCGCTGATCTCAAGAGAATTACCCCGCGGACCGCCGGAGAAAATAGTGATAGATCTGTGTGAGCTAGTAGCATTAGATTACCATCACAGATCCTGCCACTCTCTCTTCTCTCTCCTGGATCCAGGCCTCTGAAAACAAACATGCTCTTTGGGCATTGTATGCAAGTCAAGAATTTTGCCGCATGCAGTAAAAAAAAGATTTTTCATTATTGGAGTACATTATATTGGAGTTTTTCAACTTCAAAATTTCACATTTAATTCAACGCGTGGCATGCAGCTTCTTTGCAATTATTTGTGAAATCTACAGTGAAAATAGCCTCAAATTAAATCCTGCACCAATTGTTTTTCGGTGTGCAAATATGACCGCAATTTTTGAGAAAAGGAGAAGCAAATTCAGTCATTTTGGGTTGCAAAGTCAGGAAAAAAGTCCCATGAAATCCTGACGGGACTGATAAGGAAAAGTACTCTTTTACCTCGTGTTATTGACTTATGTTGATTCATGTGAATTTGTGTTTGATGTAATTAATGTAATCCATGTTACTAAGTGGTTTCATTAGAAATTCAGAGTATAACTTGAGAAACGTCTGTGTATTCTTGGTTCACAATTCACTCTCAACATTTATTTAATAAATCATTTTTTTAAACAAAAAAAGTTGCAGTATTTAATACATTGCAAGTGCGGTATTTAATACGTTTTTAGACCATTTTTTCATTTTAAATCAATTTGTATTGTTATTTTTATTTCTTATGCATGTTATTATTTGAATTTCTTATGCATCTGTTGTGATTATTGTATGATTATTTTAAATCCTCTTTATGCAAAGCATTTTGAATTAACATTGTTTATGAAATGTGCAATATAAATAAACTTGCCTTGCCTATTTATAATAAATGATTTATCAATGCACTTTTTTTTTTGCACCCTTGTAATCTTTAACCAAACATATTAACATCCCTTTCCTTTGCAACAGCATCTTGCAAACTTGCCTTCAAATCTGCCTCCATTTAGTTTGCAACACCCACTTTTTACAATCCAATCTATTCCTGATGGACAAAAGCAAGTCCTGTTTAGTCCTGGCTTTATTGGTGGATAATCTTATTCATTCATATGCATCGGCAGCTGCCTACTGTCTCATAAATTAATTAATTTGATGAAAAACGTGTCATGTTAAGTCATGTTGCTCACACAGACGACACAAGAGAGTTGCATGATTTGTCGGCTCCGTTAACCCTTGTTCTGCGTGACGCATTTGCACTCTTTATAGTTCATCCTGTGAATAAAAAGCTCTCACCCTCAGTGTGTTGATCTGTGTGCTATTGTTGAAGAAATCCCAGAGCACATCTTCATTCTCCAGCCAGGCCTCTGCCAGTTCGCCCACTTTAGCCAGCGCGTCAAATGTGCGGTTGGCCTGATGACAGAGACACTGCATTAAACGCATGCAGAAGACTGTTCAGTGCACTCAGTAGGTAGCTCGTCTCACTGGAATACTTGATTCTGACTGACCGATCGCTGTATTGAACGGTCAAATATTTCCATGCGCAGCTATAACACTGGATAATTCAGCATTAGAGGAGTTTTTCATTGAGCTGATTACTGAGTCTTTGGCAAGAATCACCATACAATCACATCAATCAACAAAGCCTTCGTAAGAATTTATCAAGAGTTTGTAGAGTTTGACATTTCTTAAACGTAAATGTTAAAAAAAAAACAAAGATATACAAAATATACTTAACTTCTACTATACTTAATATACTTAACTCATACTATAACTTCTTGAGAACTTAAGAATTTTTTTTGTAAAACATCAGTTCTGAAGTTTGTACAAATGTCCGTAAACAAAATTCTTGAGAAATTAAGTTTTCTCAAATATTTAAAAAAACATTTTGTTTTGTTTTAGCTGATGTACAGGGACCACTAGGGGCTGGATTCATTCAAATAAGACAGAAGTTAAGATAGCCCAAGCTTGTACCTGTACTTCTGCTAAAACAAAGAAACAAAACAGAAATGAAAAAAAATATATATATGTATATATATATATATATTTGAGAACTTAAGAATTTCTCAATAATTGCATATAGGAACATTTGAAAGAACTTCTTAAATGTACATACAGTACATATAATAATTAATTAAATGAATATTGTTCTCAAGAAAATATTTGAGAATTGAAGAATTTCTCAAGAACTGTGTTTAGAAATATTTGTACAAACTTCTTGGACATTAAGACATTTTGCAAGATAAATTCTAAGACGTTCGTACCAATGCTCTAAAATGCAATGCTTGATAAATTCAGAATTGAAAGTTATTAAGTATTTTCTGTTGTCAAGTATGTTTTGTTTTGTTTTGTTTTGTTTTGTTTTGTTTTACTTTGTTGTTTTTTTAGGTTTTACCTGGGGCTGGATTCATCAAAACAAGAAATATTTTGAATTTTCTAAGGTCGTCCTGGTACAAAAAAAAAAAAAAAAAAAAAAATTATATATATATA